AATATGTAAGGTTGTACATCGATAAATTATGTAAGAACGTTTATAATATAATTTAGGCTCATTTGGCGCTGAAAAGATAAAAAAAAAGGTTAATCAGCAACTATTTTAGTAATAAACTTTCATATTTCAATAAATAAATAGTAAAACAATGTCCAACCTTCTCTGGTTCCACTTAAGCCTATTTGGTGCTTTTCTTTGTCACAGATGAGAGTAAACTGAACAACTTTTGGTTTTGGACTTTTTTAGACCAAACGATTAATTGAGGAATAATCTCAAACTAATCGATAATAAAAAATAACCATAGCTGCATCACGATAATATAGAATATTATGCTGTAAAAAGGCTGCAAATTGCGATTGTTTTCATTATCAATGGACTCCTGGGGGTCCTTCAGGGGATTCCCGGAAAATTGGGGGATATTTTACTTTTATGGAGTAGTCTGTTATTCATAATCGATTAATCTGCCGGTGAATTCTATGATTTTCATTTCATCTGGTGTATAGCCCTGTATAAATTGCTTATTTTCTCTGGTATTTGAGTTAATATAATAGAAGACACAAGAAAAACAGCAAATATTCACATTTGAGAATTTGGAACCAGAAAATTATTGTTGAAAAATATTTTTTGTTCGAAAATATTACCTGAAAAGATCCAAAACAACAAATAATAGTTAACATTTTTTGTTGATCAATTAATTGCCTGGTTTATAATATAAAGCATTCTGATTAAAAACACCTATAATACCTTGATTAAGCAATCTTTCAATTCTGTTTCTTCGACCTGACTCTTTTTATTTTTTCTTCCTACAGGCATAATGCAAGGGAGAGGTTTTCTCATTTTTCGCAGTTCAGTGACAGATGAACCAATAGTCTTCAACGACTATACAGATAATCCCCAATGTAATCATACAAGAGGTCGGGGGTTTAATGCAACCAACTCCAACAGGATGGAAATGTCAGAAGAGGCTCTGCTGTTTCTAACAGGCCCTATGTCCACCATCCTCATACCTTCCTTCTACTTGCTGATCTGTGTCATCAGCGTGCCGATCAACATCGGTGCGGTCATAGCCTTCGCTCGGAGGATCCGGCCTAAGAAGCCGGCAGCGATCTACATGCTGAACCTGGCCTGTGCTGACCTGCTCTTTGCCGTGCTGCTGCCATTCAAGATCTCCTACCACTTTGGTGGCAACAACTGGATATTCGGCCCACTTATGTGCCGTGTGGTCACCGCAGCGTTTTACTGGAACATGTATTGCTCTGTTCTCCTCATAGCCTGCATCAGTGTGGACCGTCTTCTTGCTGTAGTCTACCCCATCGACTCCCTGGCTTGGAGGAGGCCACGGAACTCAATCATAGCCTGCGTGACCATGTGGATACTGTCTTTAGCTGGTTCGGTGCCCCTCGTCCTCTCCGAACAGACTGTTTACCTTACACAGCTGAACATCACTACCTGCCATGATGTCCAGTCCGCCACACATGAGCTAATCGGGTATTACAAGATCTACTTCATCACCCTCTGCTGCGCCCTCTTCTTCCTGCCTCTGCTCATCACTGTGGTGTCTTACACTCGGGTGATCTGGTCTCTGAGCAGGGTCCCGCATGGGGTCCCCGGGCGCTCACGCAGAAGAACAAGAGCAGTGGTGATGGCTTTTACAGTGCTGGTGATGTTTGTTCTGTGTTTCACGCCCACAAACTGTTTACTTTTAGCCCACTACCTGCAGTTCAATGAGGGACTCGAGAAGACCAGGGATGCCCCTGATGGCTCCTATGCTGCCTATCTGGTGTTTATGTGTTTAGGAAGTCTGAACTGCCTCCTGGATCCTCTGCTCTACTACTTTGGATCATCCCAGTGCCAAAGACAACTAGCCAGTGCTCTGAGATGTCAGAAGATTACAGAGGGAAGCAGCAGTCATTCGTCATCTAGTTCTTGCAGATCCAGCAGGAGAAAAATTCTGAAGTCCAGCCATACAGAAAGCTCCAAAATAAACACATCAGTCACCAAAATGGACTCCTTCCAGCAAAATCTCAACAGCCAATACAAAAAACTGCTGGTCTGATACTGATTCATTAATCAGAGATTACCTGACTCTTATCTGTGATATTGCAGTTACCAAACCGGTAGAAATATTTTATTATGAAGTCCAAGTAACAGCAAATAAAGATCATAGAGTTGGTCTGTAGGGTTTGGAACCTCTGTCATTTTCCATCATGATAAGGATGAATGGAGGACAACTGAACCTATCATGCCAACAGAAATGAGTTGAAAATCTGGGTTTTATAACAGCTAATGTGCAATGATAGACGTGCAGGGGTGGATCTAGAGAATATTCATGGGGGGCCAGAGGGTGGCATAAATATGCTGTTTTAACCACAAACTATCGCATATATCAGTATTTGCTTGGAAAAGCCCCTAAATTAAGATATTTTAAAAACTAGATTATTGTGGCACATTTAGAAATCAACAAAAACATTTTATTTTCAAATCTTCAGACATTTTTCCTAATACATTTCCTTCTTTTTTTTTTCATTGACTTTAAGCTTACAGTGTAAAATATGCTTGTAACAGATCATTAAATTCATTTCCATTTTTTAACACATTATTTTTAATGAATCTAAATTAATTTGTTAAATTTGACCATACTAGGGTGGCCAGCCATGTTTTTCATGCCACCCCTCTAGATCCGCCCCTGCAGACGTCCCTGTCGAGAGATGAATGAAGTAAAAAAAAAACAATGTACGGAAGGAAGTTAACATTAGATAAGAATGTGCTTTCTAGAACAATTCAGCTGAATATTTCAAACTATGAAAAGCTTTTATTTTTGCACTGTATGTGTTACATGAGTTTATAAACTGCATTTAATGGAAGGAAACAATTAGCTGTTTTGTATTTTGTATATTTTTCCTGTATAATAATTTTGCTGAAAAGCTTATTTCAAAGCACTTAAAGCTGTCAGTCACATTTTACGTTGTATGTTTTTTTTTAAGTATTCACTTTTTTTTTTTTACCACTTTTGTTCTGTGAATAAATATGTCATCATATATTATTATGATAGTGTTAAAAAGATAACCAAGAAACAGCAGTAATGGGCTGACCAAATGTCCCACATTGTTATAGTTTGTTTCATGCTGCTCTCTGCTGGTTGGAAATGTGAAGTACCTTTTTTATATGACGTTGTCATTTTACACCATTGTCCAGGTTCTTTTCTCCTCCAGCAGGCGGCGCTATTGTACTGTTAATAGAAGGTAACCTGAAGGATCTAACCTCAGCCACTTCTCTTTCACTGTGTATTGGTCTTAGGAGAGAATTATGTGATAGTGTAAAGCAACTATGGACTGAATAAATACTCTCTCAAAACAACTGACTGTCCTGTAGTTTATTTGTTTGAGCTTTTAAGCAGCCCACCATGACAGCAAAGCCCATATGATCGCTGAAGACTGTTTAAACCATCGCCAGCTAAACAAACGAACCAACAATGGAGGACATGTATAGACGTTGCATATCATCCACACTCGTGTTTGTGTATATTTTAGTACTGGTATAAAGTAGTTTCTGTTCTGCATTTCCCCTAAGTTCACAAGGTATGGGGGGAGGTAAAGGTTAAGCTATATACTAAGATATATTAGTCTAATTTATTCAACTTAACTTGCCATTAAAATATTTTTTAGCACAGCATCAAACTGATCAAAAGGGCCTTTCCTAATACTGATAACCTTTTTTTTGTAAAAGTACTAATACTGCACTACAAATAAAACTCCTGCAGTCATTCTTACTTAAATAAAAGTATGTAAGTATTATCAAAATCTACTTAAAGAATGAAAACATACTCCTTGTGCTGTCAGTGTTTTACTATATTTATTCTCTATATCTGATGTTTTTAGATTAATGTTACTGCTGCATTAAAGTATGTGTGCTGTAGATGTTTAAAGCTCACTGTTCAACTGTTTTACATACTGTTGTGTAGTTTAATCTACAGCAATGCATCATGTTCTATAAGATCCTCACTGTTCTGTGAGAACCACGTATCTCTGAAAAGAAAATCAGCCCTGCTCTCTGCTTTGTGACAATGCATTTTCCAGCTAATCCAAGAGGGATTTTAGCCCTCATCCTACTGATTGGGACACCCTCAGAGGTATTCTACCATTCCGCTTTGTCATGAATTTTCATTCTCTGTGTTCTTCATGACTTCATATCGTTATTTTCTGTTTCTGTTGGACCCCAATCAAAAGAACCCCAATTCCACCTATACAGTTTTAATAGATGGAAACCTTTATGGAGTTCATGTTTGAGTTCACTTGTGCCAAGGGTCCTAATTTAAAGTATCACACAGTATATGAAGGCTTGGAAGGGTTTTGAATGAGGCAGACACAGATGCAGACACCCATTTTCTCATGTGCTCCATCCATTTTAGTTTAATCATTTTAAAACAGATTTAATACCAGATACAACGTAATTTAATATTTAATTTGTAAATGAAGTGCAACTTTCTTAAGATAATAATTACCTGTTTTGTTTTTGTTTCAGATTACATTAACTAATAAGTTTACACTTTACTATTATGGTTGTATTCTTAGGAAGTCAGTAGTCCTTATATTTTAAATTGAAGAATTTTCTCATATTCCCATAAAGGGACACTTAATCAGACACATTAAACTTTATACATGGTTTTCACTGTAACTAAAGCTGTCAGAAAAAGGTGGAATAGTAGTGTAAAGTAACATAAATACTCATGTACAAGTACCTCAAATTTGTACTTAAGTACAGTACTTGAGTAAATGTACTTTAGTTACTTTCCACAGCTGGATCAGACACTATCAGACATTGTTCCTGGAGGTCTGGAGAAGTGAGTTTCAGCTGTGCCAACGCTTCCTGTTCCTAGAGTGCAGATATCACAACGTAACGTCCACCGGAGGCGTGTCTCTCGTGTCTGTAGACTTCAACGCGGTCACCTGACACGGTGACATCACGCAGGTGTGAAAGCCGGAGCGGTCTTGCGGTGTAAACTTGTTGAGACAGAGACGAAGAGAAGTAACGCGGCCACACCCGCCGAGAGAAGCGCACAGACCTCGACTGGATTGCAGCCATGGCTCTGAGGACGCGATGGTCTCACCTGTTCCTCCTTTTGTGCTCCGTGCAGTTCTGCCTGTGTCTGAACGGTAAGCTTCCCCCAGTTTATTTCCATCTGTGTGCTTTGTTTTGTCTCAGCGGACAAAATATTCAACTCAGATAGAAGTGGGATCAAAAAAGTGCTTTATTAACCTACACAGGTCGTATATAAGCCCTGTTTGTTTGATGGTTTTGGTCAAGATTACCTTTATAGGCTGGATTAGCCTGTCAGAATTGACTAGATAACACTGAATAATAAAGTTATATATGTAAAGTGGGTCGATGTAATGCAGGTGACTCATGCTCAAAGACTGAATGTCGAAAACAGGTCAAAGTGCTCACAGCTGACGGGAACTGAGTCTAACTGATATTTGAGTTTCCAATGTAGGTAAATTATAGAATGTTCCTGCATATAAACCTGTTGTACTTCTGCTTTTCATATGTTTTCATATCGTGACTAGATATAAATACCAAAGGCTTCACTGGTACAGAGACCGTCGAAGGAGTGTTGGTCAATTCTCCAGCCACAGAAGTCCTGAACAGTCGTCTTACAACCGTCTTCCTCCCGATTATCTACATCATCGTGTTTGTTTTGGGGCTGCCCGCCAACGCCCTGGCAGTCTGGGTATTCCTCTTCAGGACCAAGCAAAAGCACCCGGCATCCATCTACATGGCCAACCTGGCTTTGGCTGACCTGCTCTTCGTCATCTGGGTCCCCTTAAAAATTGCGTACCACTTCAACGGCAACAACTGGATCTACGGAGAGCCGCTGTGCAAAGTGCTGGTGGCGTTTTTCTATGGCAACATGTACTGCTCTATCGCCTTCATCGCCTGTATAAGTGTACAGCGTTACTGGGCCGTGGTCCAGCCGCTCGCCCACCGCCAGAGAGGCAACCGTACAGCTATTGCCATCTCCATCGCAATCTGGGTGGTGGTCTGGCTCATCACGGTCCCTCTCTACCTGTACGATCAGCAGGTCCGTGTGACAAACCTCAATATTGCCACCTGCCACGACGTCACCAGGCCGAGTCAGAAGAAAATGGCAGCAGGCTACTTCCTGACAATGGGAATTCTGGGATTTGTCGTTCCCTCCATTGTGTGCATCATATCCTACGTTCTCATGCTCAGGGCTCTTAGGAACAGTATGGCGGACCCAGCCATCGCCAAGAGGCGGCAAAAGGCCGTGGTCTTGATCGTCACCGTGCTGATTATGTTTTTAGTGTGCTTCACCCCCAGTAACATCATGTTGCTGGTGCACTACATCCTCCTGTTGGCCGAGGCTCCCAACAACCTGTACGGATTCTACATCACCACCTTGTGCTTGGCGAGTCTCAACAGCTGCTTCGACCCTTTTATCTACTACTTCATCTCTGAGGACTTTAGGGAGCATGTGAAGAACACGTTCCTCTGCAGGAGCGAGAGGACAGTGGAGAGGATGAGGGTCTCCTTCAGCGCTCTGAAGTTCTCCAAGAAGAGCAACACGTACACGTCCGAGTCCGGGAACACCAAGAGCACTGACTGCTAGCGCCTTGCTGGTTTTTAAGCTAATTATTAATTATTAAACTTCCCTCAGGTATAACATAAAATGAAAGGAGTCGTCTGTGGTGATGACGGCCTGCATGCTTTATGCTGTCTTTAAGTTACTGCGTTTTTATTTTTGTAAATTAATTTTTATTTTTTATATGATAAAACAACTTTTATTTAATGCACTTTTTATTCCACGCTGTCATTTTACTGAGATGAATTCTTTGTCAGCGTTTTGATGTGCCAGATGGTTTTGAGACCGAAAATGGGAAACATTTAGCATGTTGTATGATCCATGATACGTGCTTTACGTTTGTGTGTATATATCCTGTATGTGTTTTTAAAGTAATAAGTTTTACTTGTAGAACTACATTTTAAAGTTTGCCAATAAAAAGTAAGCCAACTAACTATATTTTTACCCTGGGCTACTATCTGCAGGTCTTTTAAAAGTCTCAAAAAGCAACTGAACTCAGAGAAAACCATCTGAAAGGGTAATAAAAAGCCCTAGTTTACAATAATATACACCTATAAACTAAAAGTGGGATTGTTGTGATAGAGGATTGGGCTGTTCATTTCTTTTTGGGCGTTCAGATGGTATGATTGCAATACGGGTATTAAATTACACTGTATGTGGTATTTGTCTTTAATTTAACTGGGTCAGCCCTGCAGTAACGTTGTATTTGCTTACTGACATTTTCTCTGACTTTACTGTCGGGCAGACAGTCGGAAAGGTCAAACTCGGTGTTCCTTATTTTCAAAATAAACTTTACATTGGACCTTTTCCAAAATTCCATGTATGTTCTAAACTAGAGTAGAACATGGTTTCATCCCAAATTAAAGATGTACAGTAAAAATTTTTTTGTGTATGGAAATGTCCTTTAAAAGATTTTTACCTCTTCCAGTGACAATAGAAACAATGTGAAATATCTTCTAAATTGTTGTCATTGCTTTTGTGTAACAAAAAATTGTTTTCAAATCACAATTGATGTTATCAGGTGGGATATATTAAACTTTTCAATGAAAGAAAGAGAAACTATATTTTTCAACATATTAAATGTGCAGTTTGAAGCTCAACAAAAAAGGTTGCACAAATTATTTTGCTCTGAAGTGAAACATACTGTATCTTCCAAAATAAACCAGTTTATAGAACATCCCATACTTTACTAACTTGAAAAGATACATTTTTCAGGGTTACTGGAGTAGAAATATAACTCAGGAACACGTTTAAATTGGCCAGCTTTAGTGTCAGTCATCATCTTACCTGATAAAAGCTGTTTTGATACAGTGAGAGATGGAGAGAGAGATAAGCTCTTCATTTTGACAGGCAGGGTGTGTTTTTACACTATTATTTCCAAAGAAATACCTACAGTCATATGAACAAAGACTGTTTAAACTTAGGACACACAGTCACAGTCCGTTAACACTGATGTGGTAAACGTCCATTTCCTTATACCCACAGTGCAATGCTGTGTGTTGAAAATAGAGCAGTGATAACTTGAATTTGATGGTTTCAGTTTATGAAAATGTGCTGCTTTTCTTGAGTGAACTGAATATATGTACATATGGATTTTGGAGGAAAAAAATGACATTTGATGTGACAGATGTCACTTGGGCTTGAGGAAATTGTAATGGACATTTTAAACTGTTTTACTCGATAAAATAATCATTAGCTGCAGTGTGGAGGTGAAATGTACCCAATCTCAGCAGCTGAACTGTCGTAAGAGATCTTCAGTTCAAGCCTGTAACAAGATCACATGGAACATATCAGTGTGAACATTATTTCCATTTAAGTACACATTTCCTCTTTCTAACCACAGACATCAACAGTATAATCTATATTCAGAACACTTTGTTTAAGCCGTGGCTTTAAAGTGATGTAAGGTCTCCCTCTCTGACTGTATATGTAATGCAGTATTTATATTAAATAGTATTTTTTTTCTTTTACTGCATAAACCATCATATAAGATAAGATAAGATATTCCTTTATTTGTCCCACAATGGGGAAATTCCGATCATATGTATGTATGATCATATGATGACATGTATATATGACATATGATCATATGTAGAGGACCTAAAGGATTTTGCAGCAGGAAATTGTGAAATGGTTCAAAGCATATTTCTGCCTGTGAACAGAATAATTTTCGAAATTCCCCTAGGGTATCCTCAGCATTACTTATTGTTTGATAGAATTATTTTTTAATTTTATTTCAAAAGTTTAAATATGTCTGAAAATACACATTGACATGAATCTTCACATTAATTAGAATAGCTGCATGTTAACAAGGCAGCCTATGTTCATACATGGCACTAGGCCTTATTGTAGGCCCAGTTTAATATACACAGTTGTATACAATAATAATCTTATATAGGGTCCCTTCTCTGTCACAGTTGAAGGGTCTTTGGCCTGAAAAACGTTGAGGAGTCCTGCTAAAGTATTCAAATCTAAAACCTTGAGACTACCTTCTCTACTGTCTCTCTGTCTGTCTGTGTGGCTCTGCTTCTTTCTGTCTGTCTGTGTGTCTGGTTCTCTGTCTCTCTCCTGCATCTCTCTTTCTCCTCTCTCCCTCCTCTCTCTCTCTGTCTGTCTGTCTGTGTTTATTTGTTTGTTTGGAGTGCTTGTTTGTTTGTTTGTCTTCCTTCTGAATTAACTGGGCGCCATGGAAACTCTGATGGAAAAATGATCTCGACCAGGTGGGCGGTTCAGAGATGACGTCGCAGCGTACGGACAGGTAGTCTCGGGGTGTGTCCTCCAGGGTTGCGGCTGCTCTCTCCGACGTTTAAGAAGCTGTTCGAGGGAGAAACTACCAGAGAAGCTCGGCTGAAGTGCGTCTAAAGTACAGAGACATGGATTTTACTCGGTTGCTGTCGCTCCTGTTGGTTTCCTGCTGTTTTCCGGCCTCACATGCCACAGGTAAGCTCGGGACTTCCTCTGTGTTTGTTGTGTCGTTGAGCCAGGGCCCTCATTACCGAGAGACACCATTAGTCTCATCCCCGGAGAGCCCGTTAACATAAACACACTCCGGTAATATCGAAGTGTATTGAGCTGAATAGGTTGAAACTTAATTAGAGTTGGATTAAAAAAAAAAAAAAAAACGTTTAACCTTGGGCTGTGGCCAGCTCCCAAACAGACAGAAATGCCGGGAAATGTAGGCCTATCTAGGCTTTTAAAAACGTTTATGATGAGTACCTTGTACAGGTATTGTATAAGGGGATATCATATCTAACCTGTGAGATCAGGAAAAAGGCTTATTTGCTTTTTTTCCTACTTTTTATTGGTAATGCTGTTATTTGTATTATGGCTAAAACTAATGATTATTTTAATTATATATTAATCTGTCTATAATTTATCTTCATTCTTTTAGTCTAAAAAGTGTCAGAAATTAATGAAAAATGCCCATCCCAGAGCCCAAAGGAACATTTTCGAATAACTTGTTCTGGCCTAAACTCAAAGATACGCAGTTATAATTCTATAAAGCAGCAAAAACCTCACTTTAGAGAATCAGGAGTCAGGGAACATTTATGTTTATTAAATGACTTAAATGATTAATTGATTATTAAAATAGTTGATAATTTGACCTCTTCTCAGCCCTGGTGTGTATTAAATTTGATCATATCCTTTTTAGGTAAAGGCCGCGGGTTCATCGGGTTTAAGGACCCTGAAAACTCAGAACAAGTTGTTGTGGACCAGGCAACAGCTGACACTCTGAAAAGTAATCTCACCACAGTCTTCATCCCGATCTTGTACATCATCGTGTTTGCGGTGGGACTCCCCGCCAACGGCATGGCCATCTGGGTGTTTCTCTTCAGGACCAAGAAGAAGCACCCATCGTCCATCTACATGGCCAACCTGGCTCTGGCCGACCTGCTGTTCGTCATCTGGACGCCCCTGAAAATCTCCTACCATTTCAACGGCAACAACTGGATCTACGGAGAGCCGCTGTGCAAAGTCCTCGTGAGCTTCTTCTATGGGAACATGTACTGCTCGGTTCTTTTCATCACCTGCCTCAGCGTGCAGAGGTACTGGGTCGTGGCTCACCCTCTGTCCCAGCAGAGGAAGAACAACAAAATGGCCATTGGTGTCTGTGTGGCCATCTGGCTGTTTGTCTGGCTCACCACCACGCCTCTGTACCTGTATGACCACACTGCCAAACTCAAAGACCCCAACATAACCACCTGCCACGATGTCAACATCATAGAGGACGCCCTCAACCCGTTCCCCTCTGTCAAGTTCCCTTACTTCTACTTCATCTTCATGGGTATGGTTGTGTTCCTCGTCCCTTGTGTCATTATCATTGTGGCCTATGTTCTGTTACTCAGGGCTCTGGGGAACAGCATGGAGGAGAGCACGGCATCAAAGAACCGCCAGAAAGCCGTGGCGTTGATTGCGACCGTCCTGGTGACATTCCTGGTGTGTTTCCTCCCCAGTAACATCATGCTGGTGGTGCATTACTCTCTACTCAAGGATGGAGTGATCAATAATGGTTACAGCTTTTACCTCTCCACATTATGCCTGGCCAGCCTCAACAGCTGCCTGGACCCGTTCATCTACTACTTTGTGTCAGAGGACTTCAGAAACCACGTGAAGAACACTCTGCTGTGCAGGAGCAGCAGGACTGTGGAGAGGATGAGGGTTTCATTCAGTTCCATGAAATACTCCAGGAAGAGCAAGTCGTACGTGTCGGATAGCGGGAACACACAGAGCAGCAGCTGTTAGTCAGAGAAAGGAGAGCAAAGAAAGGCTGAAGGGAAGTCACGTGTCATGCTTGTCTGCGCTTGTACTCTGGTGTACTGAAAACACGGTAGCTCACAGACCTCGTTGCACTGGGACTCTGTAGTTACGTCCGTGATAACAATGGACTTTAGGCCCCTCAGGTGCAACCAGGTAACCTCAACGCATCAGATAGCCAAAGATGAACTTTAAATGTGAAGATGACTGTACTTTCTAAATGTATATGATTTCATTATGAACTGTTAAAATGTGAAACACAAGTACATATTTTAGTTTTTTCTATATGAATGGAGAGAGGGTATGTTAAAGACTGATACTTAGTCCTCTTGCTTGCACAAAATCTGTTTTTTTCCCTAATATTTTGACTGAGTTCTGCACTGAATACCATTTAAAGCAAGTGACACCTGTAATAAGACTAAATCAACTTGACATGTTCAGGGGAATGGAACATGAAAGCATGTCAAGTTATGACTTTGATGAGGGTGTCAATGTAGCTCAAATCAACAAAAGGTGTGTATATAATATTCACTGCTGTTTTGTTGTTTTCTGTCTTGCCTATTTGGCACACTCCTGCCGCCAGCAAGTTTTATCTATTTTATTCTACCTGTTGAGTTTGATGAGGAAAAAGTTGAAACTGTTACATAGCCTCTTAAATAAATGATAAAACAACAGGAAGCAGTTTCTGTGAAACTCTTTTTTTTAATATTGCTTAACCAATTAAATTCCAGCTGCGGGTGAGTCACTTGCGTTCCTGGTTTTCATCATGCTGGTGGGGACGGATGTTGACGAGACTCACTGTCATGGATCATTCTCTTCGCCTTGTGGAAATGTTAGGAATTCATGGAATGTGTTGTGGTGGCGTTTATGTGAAAGTATGCGGACTAGTTTTCGATAAAACAAAAGCATGTATGTTTACCTGCTTGTTAATCATACTGTTTTCTGACGTAAAGGCGGGAAAGAAAGTGGGTCAGAGTACAAGATGCTAAAGAATGTTTAAGAGCATGACGAGGCCTGCTGTGAGGATGACCTAATCAGGTTGTGCTCCCACTAGTTTCGTTCCACCTGTAAAAGAAACACAGGATTTCTCATTTATTTATATTTATTGATGCACCACAGCAAAGACGTTTCCATTCGATACCTGATTTTGGTCTCAAATAGAGCTTTCTCTCTTGATATTTGATAAACTTTAAGCTAATCTAAATCTCACACATTTTCTTCTAAAAGATAATAAACTGTTGACAAAGGGGCATTGTGAACCATAGTGAGTGCCCCTGATCTTTTATCTATAGATAAGAAGTAAGTCAACTGGTGTGTTTCAAGCAGTAGCCCCACCCATAGAGTCGTCACCCTCCCCCACGTACACACACAGACTGAATGACCGGTTGAGGCAGAGCTGCAGGCCGTAGAAAGAGGTAAATGATTGTTGTGGAGTGTTGTCTTACCTTTTGTCAGCGCTCCTGAGTAAAAGACATTCTTTTCACATGTTGGGAACAAAGCCACTCCCTGGCCATTTTACATTTACACAGCTCCTTTGAATCATTAGTCAGAATACTGTGTGGCCAGGGCTCATTTTTAGACAGGATAACTGTTATTAACTGAACCTAAATATCTGTTCATAAAGTCATAAAAGTCAACATGGAAACGTGAAAAGGTTGTGAAATAAAAGGTTGGTGAAATCGGATTTGATACATAGTGACTTATACAGGGAGCGACATTTCCTATTGCACATGACCATGAATGATTATACAGGAATGTAAAGCACACTAGTTATTGGTGCACATTAAGCAAGTTTACTTAGATTCATAGTTTTATTCATTATAGCAAACTTATAGGAACATTTTCTCCACAAAATAACGGATATGTCTCATCACAGTGTCGGTAGGACAAGAATGGAAAGTTTTAACCCTGATACCTTCCCACCTGCACTCCAAAGAGCTTAATACAACACACAGTTTCAGTGTTATATCTTGTTTGTTTAACCCATACAAAAACTGAAATGGAAAAAAACAGGGATTTAAAGAAGTTGTTCTGCTGGCATAGTTAGCATACACAGATGAGAAAGCAATACATTATTCCATTAAATGTTGCTTTAAAGTCTGTTTAACTTTAAGCAGTGTTTTATAATTCAGTGTTTCTAAAATGCACATGGCTGTTAATTATACCAGTGGAGTTACTTCTGCAGTTGCACTCACATGTATACGTGGTGGTTTGTGTTGCATATGTCCACATTGCAAAATGTATGGTATGCTTTAAGGTTCTCATAAGTTGCAGCAGACCTGTAACCACAAGGCTGACGTATATGAAGTGTAAGAATATGAAAAAATAGAAAAGTTAGTATGGAGTTTAGTTATTTTTATTCATTTGAGATTAAAATCATTTAAGATATAAAAAAACTAACAGTGAGAATTCATGCATATTAAAGATAAAAATTACCAGACATGTTCTGTTTATTTTATTTAATTACCCAGCACTTGAATACTTATAACAAAGACACACAGACAAATACGCTCGAGTCACCTGAACAGAGTATTTCTAAAATGAGAATAACCTGTTGCAACAGCCAATTCCCTCATAAACCAGAAACATGCCAAACCAGTTCTGACTGGGTCAGGTTAGATAAGAGAGATGAGTCACAACAACTGTGGTTAGATCAACACCACAGTACTATGATACACTATACTTCCTGTGTGCTATCTCTCAATATACTACTGCACAAAAATTGTGTATCTTTTGTTAAATCAATCCGTCAAAGTAAGTCTTGTAAAAGCTGCAGTCTTTGTTTGATGTGTAAATTGTAGCCTTGTTGCTCTGATTTGTGTTTGGAGGAAAAGTGACCTCTGTTGGTTTGTTTGTTGAAATGCAAGTAACACCACATATAAGTGAAAAAACAAAACATTTCCAGTTCATATTAGTACATATATATATATATATGTATAATGTATATATATACATTATTTGATGAAATTCTGGCTTGAAACAGCCACATGATTTTATGTTTTGATTTATAAAAAAAAGTAAAATCAGAAGAAGAATCAATTGATTCTCACAGTAATCTCTATGTGTCCAAACATAGCAAGATATTTCAGAATAACCCCTGCTTCTGTGAACACAAAGACTTCCTTAAATATCACATTTTTATTCTCACAGTTGAAGACTTTGTATCACAAATATATTTGTTTTGGAGAGTTGAATTAAGAACTCTTCCAGTAAGAGCATTTTGTCTGAAAGAGAGGATGATAGATTAGTATTGCGCCCACGCATCATACTGGGATGCAGCTAAAAGACCGCTATTCATGCGTGAGAGTGAGAGGGTCAGTGCTGAGGAGGGAGAGAGGGAGAATGTACGTGCTAATCACTCTGACAGATCACACCATCTACCATCACCAAATACTCAATAAGGTCTCTTTAGTGACACATAAAGATACAACCATCAAGTAAGTAGTTTTATTCTTTGCTTTTGTTTTTCAAGGTGGCTCAGAATGTGTTACACATGTATGGGAATTGACCTGAGAATGCATGACAATACATTAACACAACTGTACACAAAAAAAGACATAAAAGATCATTCTTCTCAACAACTTGAGAAATGTTAGATAATCAAAACTCTTGACTATTAGCGAGCAGTGAAAGATATTGAAAGGGTGTTAAATATAATAATATCAAAAAGACAGGAAAGGCAGACAGACAGGGAAGGAGTGAAACTGGTCTGTAGGAGGGAAGAGAGAAAAAACAAGTGTGTTGGAATGAGAGCAGGTACAAAAGAGGCTGTTTGAGTAAAAGAGAGTCAGTGAGATATTAAGTCAAGCTCTTTAGTCTTTTCTACCTTTCATCTTGTCTGGCTCTGCCGCTGCAGCGTGGCTGGAGGGAGTTGGCACAGTGTGGGTGCCCCCCAGCCAGTCCCAGTGAGAGAAGAATGGGGCAAAGTTAGTGCCGGGCCTCTGGTGGTGAGCATCATGCTTGGGTGCACCTCCCCAGAGGCCAAAGGGCACCAGGTTATGCAGGGCCCACGGAAAGTCATAGCCGCAGTGCTGCTCAATGGACACATAGACGTTGAAGACCATGAAGCCCCACGCTGTGAGGCAATGGCACTGAAGAAGGATGGGGTCTATTGTAGCCCAAAAACCCAAGCTGAATAACTCCCAGCCAGACAAGTACTGGGTGACTAAGCTAAAAGTCTGGTTGTATTGGTGGTGCACAGCATGGAACGTGCGGTACAACCATGGTACCTGATGGTGCAGCAGGTGCCACAGGTAATACTGGAAATCAAAGACCACCATGCAGCCCATGATTCCCAGGAAGAAGCTCCAGAAAGTGGGTGCCTCGCGGGGCAACGGGGTGGGCGGCCTCCACAGCCACTGGGCGACTGTAGCAGGAAAGATGTAAAGCACATTGTTGTAGATGGTGAGCCCCAGGGTAGTCCAGATGTTAGGCCAAGTGACGGGTCTGTCAGGATGGAGCCTGTAGCGGTTTATGCACGGCCAGGTGGGAGCCAGCAGGTCCAGCACGGTGTAGAGACCAACCAGGAAGAAGTAGGTGGAGACGGAGAGGACCACGGGGAAGGGAGGGCTTCTCAGGAGGTCATGGTGGTTCTGGTAGAGGTAGTCCCAGAAAGGCTGCAGGACCGAACCGTGGGACTGGCCTCCAGTCACATTGTCCTCATCAGACATCCAGGATAAAGCCTCAGCTCTGAGTAACCTTCCTGTGCTCATCACTAACGCTGTGTTTCTCTTCCAATAGAAGGCAGATCTGAGATTATTATTTTCTAACAAGCCCCAGGAGAGGATAAAGAGGGGTCGAGAGTCTAAATGAATGGAAAGATCCAATCAGCTTCCTCGTACAGGATAAGCAACAGCAAATTGTCTGGTGAAGTTGTGCCAAATTGGACTGGCGGGCCGTCTTAGCCTCTTATGTATGTTCAAGCCCCACCTCCACCCCTCCACCACCCCACCCCCTGTGTTTTAAAAGAAGGCACTCTGTAAAGACCCTTTTTCATGGGCACAAGGACTGCAGCCAGGACTCAGGAGCCGGGCCACAACAGCTCCAATCTTTGCCCCAAATCATGGAGAGAGAGCTTCCACTTACTTGTGAATTTGACTTTGTCATTAAAAAAGGGGTTATGCATTTTACAATTAACTTTAATGTAATTGAAGCAACCTTTATGAAAACATTAATATTAAAGCAAGTTATACATTCACTGCTGTATGTTAATAATCAGCATGCATGCACACACACATACACAACATGAGTTCTAAAAAGCAATCAATCATAGAAAAGCTGTCAAATGAGACATGAATTGAAAAGCACTTCCTTTGAGATGCTGGATTGTAGTTGGCTTATTGCTCAGTTTGAGTTCCTTCATAGAAAAAAAGATTTCATTGAAGACTTGATTCGTTGAAGACTGAACTGGAGCAGTGACCACAGTTCTTGTTTCTATGGTGTGACACAATCATTTTGTAGAAAGCGGAGGTTTTTCAATAAATATCATGTGATACAAAGTCAAACATGACACAATTTAACTTCCTATTATCATTATGTGTCATTAAATTCCAAATAACTGCAGAATTTAAAGTTCATTCTTGACATATATGAAGAAGTTGAGAACATTCGGTTCTATATATATTCTATTCTCTATATATACAGTTATGTTTTTTATGGAGAACAAACACACTTCAGTGTGATACACTTTATAACTGAACTTTATTATAGAAATAGGAAGTGTAAACAGTGATGGCTTTCCCAAATACATACATCCTGTTTTAACAGTTTAAAATGCACAGAATGCTCTCTGAACAGACTTGCCATATGATCTGCACACTTTCTGATACCACTGATCAGCCAATAGAGGGCAGTAAAAATCAAGTCTTCACCAAAAACACAGTTACATATGGCAATAAAACTGAATGAACAGAACTGGATTAAATATAAATATATACCTCTTTTTTTGTCAATAATTCATTGACAACAAACAGTGAGACTGTAGTGAATGCTGCACACTGTATGGGGACACTTATTACATCGGCCTCAGGCTCAGTGTTTCCTGTGGGACTTTGATATCAAGTCAAACCCAGAGGAAAAACTGTGAAAGTCATAGAAGTCAAAAATAACCATAGCTCGAGGTAGAAGATCTGGCCTCCGACTGACTGACTCGTCAGACCCAAAAACATCGACCCTTCCAAGAAGTAGAGTGTGGCTGTTGGCACATTGTCAAATATGATAAGAAGAAATTGCTTCAGTGCCACAATAATCCACTGTCTCTGCTATATGGAGGATCGCAAACCATTTTTAGTTCTGTGTTACCACTTGCCAGACAAGTGTTCGTAAAATAAATGAGAATCCACTTCTCACTCAGTACTTCACCACATCACTAACATACACCACTACATGTAGGTGTCTGAGGAGACAATGACAAGGTGTCAGACTACTTCCTTTACTCCTGAGAGAGAGGACACATCCATTGAACTCTGCTGTAGAGAAACTGTGCAGGTCCAGCAGCTTGCTCAACACAATAAAGATGGTTTTCTACTGCAGATCTGGTATATATTTTTATTTTTTATTTTAAAATTTGGGCAAGAATGTATTGTTTCAATTACATTCAAAGAATGAAGATCAATGCCACTCTGGAGAAAAGTCACCTTTATTTCAGAAGGTAAATAAGTTTGTCAAATTCAGTCCCTCAAGCTGACAGTGAGAAATCCTCCAGGGGCTGTTTACAGTGATCCTGACAAGGTGAGAGCCACAGCTGTGGAAACACCTTGGACCAGAGCTTGTCTTTGACCAAATGCTACACTTTACTTTAAGGGAGCTATATGTAAGAATTTCCCACCTGTTGAATTCATACATTAAATATGGAAGAGCATAGTGAAATGCTGGACTAACTCCTCCTTCATTACCACCACTGTGGTTACACCAGCTGCTCCAGTGGAGCTGCTCAGCCATCAGATGCTGCTTGATATAGCTTAATAGTGAAGAATTCACACTAGACAAATGGAAAGACTTCACCAAATCCACCACAAAAGCAGGTTTTCTTGGGAATGTTTTGATGCCTGAATATTGCTGCTTTGAAAGACAATAATATATAAACAGGAAGACAGCACAATGAATATAACCTGGACAAAAGGCAGAACAGACCTGATATCAATTTATGTGTAAATACTGTATCTCAAGCAGGAGAGTTGAGATCAACAACAACTGGACTTTACTTTAGGTTTCTGTTACCATTCATGATCAACTGTTATATACTGTAAGTCCATTTGGATGAAAGTGCTATATAAATGCAGCCGTTTACGATTTATTAACCAGCAATCAGCCTTTGTCAGCGTCTGATGAGCTGCTATTTGATTTTGTTGAATTGTTCAAGAAATTTTGAGACCCAGAATCCACCCAGCCTTCCTGAGCAGCCTACATTTATTTCTCTGTGTCAAGGCTGCTCGAGGCTGTATGTCTCCAACACTGCGGAAGGTATTAAAGGAACAGGAGGAAATTCATGTCAGGACTCATCAACTGGTGCATGTCTACATCCACTCAAACAGCCTCTGCAGGAGTGGAAGACAGAGCCTGCAGTCAGCCTGGTGCAGAACAGAGGAGCAGACAAACCTGAGAATACAGAGTCAGAGTGAGACATCAGGAGGTTTGAGTCTCTCTCTCTCTCTCTCTCTCTCTCTCTTTCTTCAACATCTCCCATCCTAATCACATGCACACTTAGGTACAGTGAGCTTTGACTAACATTAGCAATGCATACTAATGTTTAGTAGGTACTGTATAATGTTTACAATGTTTGTTTAGCATTTTAGAATGCTAACAAATGCTAATTAGCAGTAAACACAAAGAATGACATTATTGGAAAAATACACATTTTAAAAGTCAGAGGAACATCTGATGATAATTCATCCTGGAACACAAATGCTTTTTGTTTGATTCATAGAAATATTAAATATATATAGGCGTTAGAGGAAAAGTCAGCAGAATTAATTGTGTGGGAACTATGAAAATGTCCATACAAAATTTGATGGCAACCAATCCAATATTTTTTTAGATATGCATGGCTTATAAAAACAGTTTCCTTATGCACATTGAACAGAACATATTAGTATTCATTCACAGTAAGTATTCATGCTTGTAAAAATAAAATAAGATAAACTTTATTGATCCCATGCAGAGAAATATCAAAGTGCCAGAAGTACAAGAACAGATACATAGTGGATCATTGGTATCCATTTAAAATAAATCAGAAAAATAAAAGGTAAATATACACACTTACTATCAAGTACATTTTGACAAACATCACACAACACAAATAAAATGACAAGATGTGGAAATTAAATTAACTTGTAGTCCAGTAGCTATACTTTTACATTTACACTACAATAACATTCATTAAAAATATCTTTCTATATCTTATAGAAGAAAGCTTAGGCGCAAACAGAATGGAAGCATGATCTCCTTTGTTTTTGTAGTGACCTTGCAGAGGACCTGAGGGTACACAAGGAGACTTAAAATGATTCATCATGTGTCATGTATGTGGGAGGAAGGCTTTTTATCTCCTTAAAGACCGTGAGCAGGGCTTTAAAATCCCTTATAAAAGACACAGGCTGCCTCATGTAAAGTAGCTGTTGTGATTTTTTCCCAGTTTTGCTTCAGATTTACTATCTATTCAGTGTTTCTGTCCAGAGGGTAGATATGTATAACTGATATAAATGTAATAGACGTCCAACAATAGTTGGATGTGGTTATATTTTTTGATAAAAATGTATATGTTTAAACATCTTAAAGACACAATTGTTTTAATATAAAATCACAGTTTATTTTCTACCTGGTAAATTATACATTTTTGATGTGAAGATAACAATTATTACGCTGAAATCAAATCATGTGCTGATATAATTATAACACTAGTAGTAAGTAAGTACATTTAACTCAAAAACTGAAACTGATTGCACTGAAAAACATTTTTAAAGTAAAACTAACTCAATATTGTAAGTTAAAAGATTCTTGATCGATAGCTTTAGTAATTTGAAGTGACACTGCCTTAATTTTGTCATTTTTATTTGTACTGTCAAATAAAAAATACCTACTGAAACATAATAAATGAAGAATGTTTTTACCCATAGATTGAGTTTGTGTTACTTCAAATTTTCGATGAATCCATTTCAACAATTTTTTGGACTTTAAATATCTTTTTGCTTTACTGTGTAATAATAGTCATTATTTATAGAGCACTTTTAAAACCAATGTTACAAAAAGCTTCACAAACACAAGTTGTGAAATCTGTAATTTAAAGAGAATTTAAAGCAGGTAAAAAGATTTAGGAAATTAGAACATACTAAATTCAAATTCCAGTAAAATCAGGATAGGCTCTTTGATAAAAGTATGTTTTAAGAAGGGACTGACGCACTCAGCCGACCTGATTTCCTTGAGCCCATTATGAATTATATTTCTCATAACTGAGCGCTTTATGGATTTTATCAAATTAATTTCTCTTGCCACAATTTCAGTGTTTGATGTGATGTCAGTTTGTGTTAAGGGTTTCACGGGTCTCTGTCATCAACAACATTTACTATTAGCAACCACGAGGGGAAACTGTTTCATCACCTTAACAAATGGAAACTTATTTTCTCCATGGCAGTGTCTGCTAGTGGAAGAAAAGTTGCAGGCCCACATCCCTCAGGTGTTGTCTTTGGGGGCTGAGGGCTGAATGGAGTGTTATTCTCCA